CGATAATAAATACTGTCTTGGGCTGTGACGGGAATCAAACCAATGACTCCGTGCAAAATGGTCAACGGATGAGTGCACAGGACCATTCGGCACTGCAGCCACCGATAGATTAAAGCCGGCCACCAGCTATTGTACAGTGCTCTAAATGTGCAGAATTGTAAGTCAGAGAGGGACTTACAGAGGGGCAAGTCAAGAACAGAAAGGACATTTTTACTATTTTTCCCTTCTGCATTATCCCGCACACGGTCAATGACCACTTTTTCTCAACGCGCCTTTGCACAGATTTACACAAGCATGCATGGCGCTATGAAAACAATAAACAGATATATATTGGTTAAATGTTGGCTTTTGTGCGATTTTTATTTTGTTCTCCCACCTCTGCAATACCGCAGTGTGGCGGGAGCATTAAGCGACGAGTGATTAGCACGGCCTTCGATAGGCGAGCTCGCCTGTCCGGATATAATGCACGGCCCGGACAGAAAGCTAAAACGAGACCCTCACTCTATATAACGCCAATTGCTGACAGGAAAGTGCCTTTGCCCAGTAGAAACATCAAAGGACACTTCAAGGATATACCGCCCTTCTCCGTGCACACTGCTCCGAGATGTACCGCAGAGGGTACCACCACTGCCATCGCACAGTCCATCTTTTCACCTTTCACCCGCAACTACAGTACACATCAAATAAAATTGTTTCCATCATTGTCGGCTATATTTTACGCGTGTTAGGCATTTTGCCGTACAATTGCGGGCATCGTGAATCTCTTATTTCATGGACAATTTCGCAATGCGGCGAGTATATATATTTTATTTGTACAGTGCGTACAGTTGCTATATAATACAGCTGCAACGTAACAATGTGGATGCCCCCCCCTCCGCCCGGCCGACTCGACAAAGGCAAACACTTTCCATTTTCGGGCATTACACCATAAAATACACCAATTTTCTCAATGGGTTTTTATGATGAATTAGCCCAAACACAGTGGGGCAGTTTGAACAATGGGTGGCCGTGGTGGGCCCCCCCTACCCCTTGCTACAACAGCCTTCTTTCCTTCACACCACCAATCTACTTGGCAGTTTTCATTTCACAGCGCTGACCGCTTATTTAGTGACCGCCCACCCCGCCCGCTTCCACCATCCGTTGCCTGCACCCTCCAACCCCCAACCCCACCCCGCTCCGCCGGGGTCAGTAACAGGCTTTGAATAATAAATAAGATCCTTTGCCCTATGGCCTCAATCTGGCTGGGGTCAGCGGGAGCGTGTGCTGACGAAAGGCATTAGGGTCCCCGAGAGCGATGGCTGCCGCCCAGCCACTGATTGTGCTGAGCAGGCCGCGCCAAATCGCTGGCCCGTTGTTCCACGCAATGCCTTTTGTGATATTTAACTGCTTCTGCCAACTGCGCCGAGGCGAACAAACCCCGCAGCTCGGTCAGCCTGTGTTTAATTCATCCTTAGCCGATCTGCACAATGGCCTGCATATTGATCTCTAGGTTAAGCCTTTCACTATGAATACAACCGTGCAGGATAACATTGGACTACACTAAAAATGCTAGCAGAAACTGAATTGCCACGTGTGCACGTATTTGTGTACGCCTGTATGGTATATATTGGTGCATTCCAGGGCGAGTCAAACATTTTGAACATGACATGAAAGGTATATATTTTCATGCTGAACTCACTATAAATGTAGTGTCCCTTTAGTCTCATGATTCCTGCATAAAAGTGGAGGATTCAAAATAACCCCAATTGATAGCGCATCTCCTAAAGATGTGCTTAAAAGCAATATTTGACATGAAACCGCTGACAAAAAAAACAACAATGTACAGAGCCCTCTATCAATCCACTGCTGGATAGAGGCCTCCCCGGCTCAATGTTATGGTCATGGAGGTTGTTCGACCATACTGATCAGCATTGGTTGATGAAGGGGTGGCCCAGGACTCGCCACCAATGTTAGCCATACCTAGGTTGCCAGGGTTCATACTGCAATGGGCTAAACACTGCACCACTGCTCGGACTTATATGTGTGCAGGAAATTAATGGCTGATTAAAGTACACACGAGTTTGTGGCACCCTATGCACTAAAAGATTATGCATTTGTAAGGCTCTTCTGCAAGGTTTTTATACGATGTGTAAATAGCTTCAGTGTAAATGTATTTGCATGTATAGAGGAACACATCTTATCCATGATCCTGTTATGCACTTCCGATTATCCAAAGGTCGATCCGTGAAAACTCTCATTATTCACAGATCGCCGCTTACCATTATCCTTGACAAATCGTGGATAAGAAGAAGTCATGTGGAAGTGGTCACAAGCAGTTGATAAATTGATCTTATTATTTGCAAGGTCCACGGAAGAGAGCAGTCAGGAGGCAAAGACACGACTCCAATGGGAGGTTATTGGGCATTCAACTTTCAGAGATCAGTTGGTATTAAATTCATCCCATCATCTATGTTTTCCCACGGATAATAGGATGATGGTGGAGCAGAACTTACGGGCACTGCGAGAAGTTCCCTCCCATTGCAAAAATAATCAATGATGATAATGATGCCCAAAATGATGACCATCATTACCATGCTGTTGAAGCTTCTGATGATGACGACGACGACAATGGTGATGTCAACAATGTGATTTATTAATTTATTCAGGAAGGCATCTCTGAGTCTCAGGCTAATTTTCAGCAGGGTCCTACAGTGCGATGGTTGATCAAATCAATGTTACGAGTGCCCTGCACGTGAAAGAAACCCGGAATATCTGGAGACACCCCACGCATGGGAGGCCACAATAAAAACACGACACACATGCGGGTTCACGTACCCACCTGCAGCAACACCACCACCATATTCACATGACCTCTTAGCTCCGCGGATTTAGGAGGTTCACAAATCTTGAGTGATCCCCCCAACCCTCGATCTCCTGCTGCACACACACGTACGCTTGCTCTCCCGCACCCTAGCAGGCTCGCTCAACCTGCCGCACATTCATTGACTCTCCTGCAAAATAGACAAAGATCCCACCACTAGTATAGCCTTCACATGTTTTTAGGCCAAGTGCTGTTAGCGAGCACCTACGAAGGCCGACACGCCACACAAGGGGATGGGTGGCGATGCGTAAACAAGTGGCAAATGTTTACGCATCGCACCTAGAGGAGGCCCAGGACCGGTCCAGATAATCGTCACTGGTGTTGTGCCATGAGCGGGAATCGAACTCGGGTCGCCAGGTTCGGAGTGCAGTGTGCTAACTACCGCTCCCCACTCTCTCCGGCACACGCACACACACACATGCTTGCTCACTATTTCGATGATAGATGAAAAAAATGGAAGATGATATTGATGATAAAGGAGACGGATGATTATAATTATGATCATGATGGATGAAGATGGTGATGGCAATGGATAAGGATGTTGTAAATTTACGGAAATAGACGGTGATGATGATCGATGGTTTGGATTTCATCAGGTTTGCTATGCCACCTTCTCCAGTCAGTGAAAGAGCAAAGCGACGACCGTATATGTTTCTTCGTGCACTGATATTTTGTAATTGGTGGAACACCACTCACTAATTAGAAAAATTGGTGTCATCACTGGTAGCTACCCAGATATGAACCAAGAATCTCACCAGAGCCAGCCCAGTGCCCCAAAAAGCCCACTGAGTCTCATGCATAGTAATGTGTCGAGGAGCCTGGGTCTTTCCCGATGGGGGTATGGTAAACATACCCTCCGACTTATACATTATTTAACATAATTTTGACCATTTAATTCGAGAGGCTGTCCATGGTTTATCATTGCAATGGCTTCCTTACTCCAGATCCATCATATGTAAAATAATGACCTAGTTATTGCTGGTCAGTCTGAGGAAATGAACTATGTTATGCTGATTAAGAGCTTTTCAATACATATTAACGGAAAGTCATTGCTTATTCCAAAGTAAAAAATCTGCACGGGTCACATCATGATATGATATTGAATACTTCACGCTTCCCCTAATAATGAGTAGTGAGATGGTTGTGGAGAGCATGGATGATTTGCTTTCTTGGGCAGTGGTGTTCGTAGTTAGCTCTGGGTCATCGTCACAGATGTTAAAATCTGACGAGCCGCAATATTTTTTAATTGACTCTAATACTGTGCGAGCTGGCATCGCATTGCACACAAAAGCGGCAACTATGTATGCGCGCACAGTCATGCCCTCTCTTTTGTCATTGCTGAGACACGCAGACTCTCCTTGCGCGAACACCTGCACGAGCTTGAACCATTCCAGTTGGGCCTACATTAACCGCAATCCGTGGACTGACAATCTATTTTTTTAAATAATATACATTTTCAATCACATTTTATAGAGACTAAACATCTGGCTATAGTGGCATGAGCAGGCAACGCTGGTGTTGGGTGAGTAGGTTTTTTGTTGGTTGATTCATGTGGCTTACATTACCAGCTAATACTTGACTGATAATGTTTTGTTTGCCCAGATGAATAATACCAATGAACTAAATTCAGTATCCGTTATGGGAAGTATCCACCATGAGCATTAAGTGTATTGTATCCAGTATACCTTCTGCTTTATAGACACTATTTATCTTCACATTCCGTAGATGTTTTAAAAGCACTTTTTTACCCTGTAGAATATTCTCCGTCAAACCAACTATGAAACCCTTCTTTTACAGCACTTTTTTTCATAAACAAAACTACCGCAGTGACTGTGCTGTCATACATACTGTAATATTGAGATGAATTGTTTTGAGAAAATCATCGTCGGCGTTTGCCACTGTAGGTGATACCGATGGCAATTGTTGGCATAGGCCCACAAGTACTGTGGTGACGCCACCACCACCACCACCACAGAGTGGCGAATGGCAGCTGATGCACACGTGTGTGCTCGCATAAACGTGCATAATAATGTGGGCGCGCGGGTATAAATAAATATAGGTGCCTTTAGGTGCGGTTGCCTTTAGATGCCGAGCATAAATCCACAATCGCATTGTCATAGGGAGATGCGCGCGCACTCACTCAACGCGCTGTCTTGCGCTGCGGCGTGAGGGTGATCTGCCCGGGCTTCCGCGGGAGTGTGGCGCGCCGGCCTGTCGGCCAAAGCCAGGTCGCACGCTTGCACGGGGCCAGCCTCGCCACTCGCCTGCACTCAGCACACCCAACCACACGGGCCGGCGACCGGGGATCACGTCGAGCACGCCACGCTGTCAATCGTCGCCTATTAATCGGGTGAGGTCGATTCGCAGCCTCTTGAGATGCGGTCATATTTATATGCAATATAAATGCAAAGACTAAAATTGCATTGCATTATTGCAAGAGGAGAGGCCACCGAGCTATCAATTTTCTATTCCTAGAAAAGATCTTGAGTGAAACACTGGCAGAGAGAAAACATTCGCACTGTACACATTTTCTTCGGAACAAAAAAGTAATGCAACAAAGCAGCGGCCGTCTTAAGCCCTGCACCTGGAGTGCTTTGACCATCAATTACGACCGCGTGTAGAGAGGTCACACCAAAATGAAAATTGCATTTTTTTTATTCAAAGTCAACGGGATTCCTAAATATGCACACGGAAAGCTCTCTCTGCGCCGATGCGAATCAAAGGCTGCCTCCATGGGCTGCTCTAGGATTATTTTATGAGTGGAAGTTACTAATGCTGATAGGGTGTCCTCAAGGAATCAGATTCAATATCTCATTGGAATCCAATAGGACTTTCCACAAGGGACTACACAGCTGTGGTTTAAGTAAACAGATCAAATGAACCATTTCCGTGTTGTCATTCAAAGAGCACTGCATCCAAAATAAGTCGTGAAACGAATGTAAGAGCGAAATTATTGACTTCATAACTGGACGGTGGCACAATTTGTGAGACTTTGCGAGATGTGCCACAAAAGAGTCAAGGGTGTCTCCCTGCTTGAGAGAGCGTGGGGGGGGGGGGGGTAGTGCTCATCCCCACTGGAGACCCTAAGGCAGCGGTGGAAATTCCACATTCCTATGGCAACGGGGAAATCTGCACAGGACAAGGCAATGCATTACATGAACCATGTAACATCTGATAATGATATGTATTTATTTACCCATGGGTGTATATGAATGGATGAGTGTGCATGCATGCAAACATCAACATACAAGCCCACACTCGGAATTAATTATTTCGACTGGAAAGGGCCACCGATCTAAGCAGCGTTTTGTTTACAAGCGGTAACTGCAAGCTACGTACTGTGTGCATATTGTACAAGAGAGTGATGTGTGTAAAAAGTAAAGGGTAATTTTTATTCCATTTGTTCTAGAATACAAGGCTGCACCATCTTATACTCTACAAAAAAAGAAACCCCCCACTACAACCCTCGGATGCAGGAATGTATTGATTTTTGCAATTGCGCGCATGCATTGGTACGTACAAAATGTCATTAATATTGTTACTTTTACCTCCATTGTGAGCATTATTATTCTTGTAACAATCACAATGTACATTTCATAATGCCTGCATGGTTCTCTTTTGGAGTGTGCTCTGTGGATCCGCAAAACAAAAGGTTCGGTACATGAGCAAATTTAATACGTAGGCTTTCGCGACCAATATCATCCATACTTCAATCGGGGATTACCGTTGGTGCGGCTATTTTATCCTTATTTTAGTACACATAATCGACAGGAGGTACAAGAACAATGTACTTGCATAATGTGCATGCATAATGTACGTTGATTACCATATAAATAACCCAAACGGCAATATATATACCCATTGTCATTTATATATATTCATTAATCCCTCCCCCACTTCACGCAAGAAGAGCACACAAGTGACGTCATCACATCTACGCCTCTATTTAAGGAAGGAAACAGGAGGATTTTTCCACAAATCTGGCTGTCGCCTGATGAAGCTAGTTGCAATTACTGGCGAAACGTCGTACTTAGAATGTAAATGTTGTGGCTTTGCTCTCCAACACACCGGTGTGCTGTACTAGTAAGGAATTGGCATGTTCTGTTTACGTGGCAACCCTTACTAATTGGCTGTGTCGGGTGGTGGCGGGTTTAACGACACATATATATTTACGCGATCTAACTATTGTGGACATGAGCAAATGTTTCTGGGGGGGGTTGCATTGAAAAGAAATGCAGGTGAATGGAGATGCAAATTGCGAATGAGGAGAATTTACTCTTAAAAGGAGAACACTGACTGTTTACAAACCCCCTGCGATGTATATGAATGATAAACATGTGATAAACATGTGATAAACATGTGTGCACGACGACACAGAGGCTGTGTGCCAACACGAATGTGCTCCACAAGTACCACCTAGGACAGATTTTCAAACGTCAGCCGACGGCGCTGTCCAAACGATATGAATGACTCATTCCTGCTGGTTCTAACATTATTATTATTATTAATAATTCAAATCACTGCCACAGTCAACAGTAAAGTCCTATCTTTTTGGTTCTTTCAGTAAAGTCACGTAGAAGGGAAATAATAAAATAATAAACATAATAAAATTAAGAATAGTCCTATCTTAGAAAAGCTATAGTCTAATGTTAAATACCAGGAAACTGACTAAATTATTATTAATATTATTCTCAAAAGCCCATGCATTTGATGACACTGCTTTTCTGCCAAAATGTAAGAATCAAATAGCCAAACAAGCAGAAAGTACCATAAATTTTACCATTTTCCCCACCAAATATTGACAAAAAAGTGCCTTGTTACCAGAAAATATGTAATCTGCGCATAGTGCCTGCATACAGCAGCTATCTCAAAAAAGCACGACTGCTGAAAACAAGCCGGGACCATATAATGCACATTTGGAGTGGGGTGTGGAAAGAAACAAGAACATTTAATCAGTTGCAGGAAATTTACGGACAGGAAAATGAATTCACAAATGATGTACAATCGAGTTTACAAGGAAGCAGGTGTGGAATGATATGTCCGCATGGTCCTATTAATACTGACGTTGTCATGCATTTAATTATTTGTCTGAAATGACTATATAACCAGATTGTCTCCTTTTGACTGCCTGTCATGGCAACAGTCCCTCTGGACTGTTACAGAAATCATCCCCCCCACATGGGCCAAACCCACTGCAGGGGAATACTCTGTCTAGGGCAAGGCTAAAATAAGAAAATTTGTCATTGCCTTGGACTCGTCTAAAAATGTTAAAAATAAATCTGGAAAACTAAAACAAATGAAGTAAAATGTAATCTTTACTTTCCGGGCACATCTCAAGGCATCTCTTTCAGAACCACATTTGTCGGAACGTCATCTTATCCGGCTCGATATCAATGTTTTGCTTGGCTCGTATTTGCGTTAAAAAATTGTCTTGAAGGATGTTATATTTGAAAACCTGATGAGATTTTTTTTTTCTAAATTAAATGCAACGATGTTTAGAGTTGGGAATTCAATCATTCTTGTCCTCAGGGTGTCACATTTCATGTACTCATACCTTCATATGAGACTGTTATGAACTCTACACAGTCTATAAGATTTGTCTATCACAGTGGCTCTCTTACATATTTTATATATAAAATATATGCAGTCTATTTTATTTTAGTTAAGACCCTCGTACACAGTGTGAGCTCCACAAACTGAAAGCTTACATGGGATTTATTTTGACAGCGCTTACAATTTCCAAGGGTAACCTTCTAGAGGGAAATGTTTAACTTTATGTTATCACCAAGTATATCCCCCATATGTACTATCAGGCGCCTAGGCACGAAGCAAATATTCGCTTAGGATGCTCTGCAGAGAGCACAGCCTCATACAACATCGGGGAACAACTCCACAGAATTGCTTCCCACAGCACTTACAACACTTAACACAGCCCACTAGCGTATGTACTTTGTTCTCCGCAGGGGGGCAATTTACCTAGTTTCTATCATCACGATTCATCAAATCAGTATAGCTTGTACAAGGAATAACAGTGCACTAGAAGCTACGTAAGAAGAGCAATTATTTTAGCAATTTAGTTGCAGGCGATTGTATGAACAGTCTGGTGACCAAGGGGAAGATCTAAGACAAGTGTTGGAGGTTGCGTGTCTCTACGGCACAGCAGCTTCGGGATCTCTCAGAGGGTAAAAAGGATTGGCAAGCTGCGGTGGCACCAACGCATTTTGGTTTCGATGACATCTTGATCTTTACACCTTCAAATGTACAATTTTGGCAAAGAAACTGGCGAGCAAGTGTGATGCACCTAGAGTGGGGCTAGGCCTCATTCATATAAATAAATAATTAGTTTACCGGGGGATTTTTATTTGTTTGACGTGGCCAATGGTACTTGGTGCTCCATTTGCTTTGGCGAGATGTTAACTACCTCGCCTGGAATATAGGAGGTCGTGGGTTCGATCCTGACCCTGACACCTGCTCTATATTTGGAGTTTGCATGTTCTCCCCGTGGTCGCATGGATTTTTATCCGGGTCGTCCGGTTTTTCCCTCCACATTTAGACAGATGCATTTAGAGTATTTGATTGCTAAACATTTCCACGTGATATGCCACTTCATTAGGCTATCATTTGTGACCAGGTGGCTTCTGGAAAAGAGCTGAATAGCTCAGTGGGCCTTACCTGGTAAAATAAAAAATTGTTTCGTTTTAAGTTTTGTCAATCTGCTACTCGTGAAGGCACGGTTTAAAAGGGGGGTTTGTGCCTGGGACTTAAATCCAGTATCTCAGTTGTGGAAGGCTCCCCGCTCTGAAATTGGCAACAGGCCCGTGGGCCACCTATCGATACTGGACACTTGTCACTCAGCAATTTGTGGACAGCCAAAGCGAATGCAAAGCCAAGATGAATAAATCAACTTGACATGGTCCCAGGCTTCTAAACAACAAGGCACGAGTGTATACAATGGGGTTCGACAGTGTTGCCCAAGTGAGTGCTGCACATCCAGGTTTTTGAGTGATGGGCATAAGCATCTGCCCATGACAAGCCATTTTTAAATCAGAGATTTCTGAACAGGCTGGCCGATTCACCAAATAGAAAAGTAAATGCTCGGTCACTGATTTATGTCAAGAACTCTGCAAGGAAGGTACAATATAGGCTGTGACATCACCCACAGTTGTATAGCATTTACAATGTTTCATCATTTAAGTCTCAAACATGTGATTGGCGTCTAAGCAAAGCAATGTGTCCCCCCTTAGGTATCTCCTACATTAACAGGGCTACATATTTATATTTAAAAATAACTTAGAGATGGAGTCACACAAGACTTAAAAATTATCCATAGCCACTGACATGTAGCATCAGGCTTGCAGTTCACTCTGTGCCTATTTACTGAATAAGATTGCAGAGTTTCACTTGACTGATTAAAGAACAAAAAGACAAAATCAAGTGGCTCTTCATTGTGGTGACGGGGCAGGGGAGTTCTGCATACAGCTTTCCTGAATTTTAGCTGGAAGACAATAAAACATTATATTGCGGTTTTATCGAGACAATAACAATTTGCATCTTTAGCTGAGAGTAATTGATCAAGCCTAACAGGAATCAAATAAACAATGTATTGAATGTAATGGCAGGGGAACCAATACCAAATGTGAACTCTAGGCAGTTATGATTTCGTGACTTTGGGTGCAATGTGACGGCTAGCCCATCCATCTGCTGTGTATAAAGGGTACACAGGTTTACAGACGTCAGCTCCCCTCTTTCAACAGTATCAATTAAAAGCATTCGGTTTGGGCTTACTTGGGTCTTATGATTTGGATCACGAGCAGCATCCCATTCTGAACCAATCCGATTCAATCCACAATTCCATGGAACAAATAAGTTGACCAGATATGGTTAAATCAATCACGAGCGGGTTTTAATTACCGCGTAGTACATTGAAGACAAAATCCTGAAACCCAACCAACAGAAAAGGACGCCTACCCCTTCCAAAAGGTCGCCCTCCCAGTGCTTGATCAGCTTGTCCACGAGCACCGGCTGCGCATGCAGGGAAGCCAGGAGGCCTGGCAGGCCGCCATTGGCCTGGTTCAGGCCTAACAGGACAACAGCAGAGACATACATTCATACAATTCAAGACAATCATTTTTATCTATGATATTTTTTTATCGTGCTGTTTGTTGTACATATAAGGCTCATGCTTTTTGTATAATTTACAAACACTGTTTTTATATTCTCTACAACTCTGACTATTTGAAGTTTTGTACGATGTAATTTTGCGTCAAACTAGGACACATATTGAGGAGAGGGATCTTGCCTGTGGCATCTGGCAGTTCATCAGCATTGATTGAAGCTGTCAACGTTTTCTTGTATTGAATAAATTCTGCTGAAATTATGCACTCCTTGAAGGCTGTGAGGCTGATGGGTCGTGTAACGTTTTCATTACTTAGAGAGACATATATGAAGGAGGCACGTTATCTCATTTTGTTAAATATATATCCTCCAAAACGATGACAATAATGATGTCGCGTTATTGAATGATTCTGCAAAAAGAATCACTTCAAGCTCTGGCAATCTTAAGCGATGCGAAGCAACAATGTCTCGGTTAACTTTTTTTCCACGAATTAAAGTATCTTAAAAATTAGTTAAGCAAGAGAGGTCCAATAGAATACCTGACCATATTTCTTGGTTCTTTCGGTAAAGTCACGTAGAAGGGAAATAATAAAATAAAAATAAAATAATGCTTTATTTTTATTATTGTATTTTTCCCTTCTACGTGACTTTACCGAAACACCCAATAAGATGAATCCCTGCAGTCACGAAAGCTTTAAATCGAAAAATACCTTACCAGTTTATATTGTATAACAATTAAGTAAGAAAACGTACTTTTATTATGATGAAAGAGTTGCTTGTGCCATCAAATGAAATTAATGTGCGTGTGTTTACGACATTAATAAAGAAAATAGTCAATAGAACTCTTAATAAAGTCTTGTACATTTCAATAAAGGAATTGGTGTTGTTGCTGTTTTTACTATTGTTATTATTTTAATGAGATATTTAAATTATTTGGAGAACATTCCCTTCTAAACAACGTGCTTGTTTCCAACTCCTCTCACTTCCAAGCCTGGTGATATAATTTAACTGACACTTGAACAAGAAATATGCAATGTTATTAAACATGGACCAGTTAAACAATGCACTATCAATTATTTGGAAATACATACAAACAACAAAAAAGTACCACTCTGTCTGGCTTTACCAAGTTTGGCCGTGAACAAAGAACTTTCAAAAGTCACTCTTTGGATTAGTCTGGGTCTCTGAGCCTCAAGTAGTGAGGTAGTTTGGTCACTCATGTTCAAACTTCATGAAAGTATCACGCCCATTAATAATGTAGCTTATCACTGTTATACCCTTGTACTAAATAAAGGGGAATATTTATATCCACAAAACATGCTTGAAAATGTGTATCACAATACAACTCATGTAAAAATAACGTTAATCCCATTGATTTAGGCAGGAAAGCCTCACTGAGTTTTAAGACTTTTTTCTATGAAGGTCACAAACATGGCAGAACTTGAACATGGAACATCGTTTTGACTTCTCACAAGTGGCCGTGCTGGACAATATCCCCAGTTCACATGCAGGCCTGGTGTGTCCACCAGGTGAGCGCTCTTCTAACAGAAAACACCACGAGGAAATCCCTCCACCTTCCGCCACTGCCGCCCGCGATGTTGGAGGGGGAAGAGAAAGCCTTGAGTCCTCATGCGCCAAACCAAAACTCACGGCGACATCCGGTTCATTACACGATGGCCATTCGTGCACAAAGACAAAGACACGTACATACACTCGCATAGAGACATTGACTATGCTGTATGTTTGGTAACAGATTATGACCCTCAATCTGGGTGGCAGGGTGGCCCAGTGATAACACCTGTGTCTTTCACAGCAAGAAAAACTTGCATTCGATTCCCGACTTGACAGTGTAAAGAATGTCCTCCCCCTGTTCTGCACGAATTTTCTCAGGATTCTCTGGTACCCTCCAATAGATATTTTTTTTACTGTATTGGTAAAAGATCCCAGTGCTGAAAAATATTCATAAAATTACTCATTTGGGATTACACATGGAAACATCACGACCAACTGTGAACAATCATCAGGATCATCTTGAAAATTAGTGTTGGGACTCAACAACATTTCCCTCGGTTAACAAACACAATAATAATAACCTACAATCATCCGCCTCGCCATTACCACCCACGTTTTGTCAAATAACGGCAGTACAGAGGAATGCATTATTGTACCGTACTTCTATGCTTGCACATCTATGTTTCCAGCTCACACTGACCAGCACGGTGATTGCGGTCAAAAACAAACCCCATGACCAGTTTGGAGAGGTCTCTATCCAGCAATGGATTGGCAAAGGGCTGCACATGGAAATTTTGTAGTTTATTGCCTATTGTGGATCTTGTGAACATCTATAAAAAAATATTAAACAAAAGGAAACTACATAGACCACAATGTGCACGTATATGAGTCAAGTGCGTTTTAACAAATTATGTCAAAAAACACCTACACATTGGAAACAGTGTCTTATTATAAATTTGATGATTTAAATATATTTTTCTATTTCAGTGCATTAACATTTTAGACCGGACACCGTTGTTATTTTTGTTTTTAAGTGGAACTGGTTGCAACCATTCTAATAGTCTTCATACCATGGTGTATATATATACGAACGATTGCACTGTGCAACTCGGCCAAAAATTGGAATTGGATTCCTATTATGTGGTGTATTTTGAGCGAGGTATTTTTTTAAACAATTCAAGCGGAACCGGCTCAGAAACGCATCCAAAAGCATGTTAATCACACGTGCCGTCACCCCGCGGTGCCTCTCCTCGCACAGGTACAGAACAAAGGGGAAGAGAGAGAGGAAAAATATTGGGTCGCATTAATCCGTAAGATGTCCACAACTGACAGCAAGGTGCCAGTCTGCAGCGTAATCAACGGTGCATATACAGCCATAGATGGCAAGAGCAATTTCAGCGTGCTATGTGGGGGGGGGGGGAGGCGAGCGGGGGGGGGGAGACAATCCTTTCATGGGCCTCAGTGCACGTGATCAATGATGGCAATACGAAGCACATTTGTTGTCAGTGCAGCGCTGAACTGGATTTTCCTCTTTAAGGCCCTTGGCTGTGTGCCGAGGCCAGGAGCTGAATGATGAGCAGGAGGGGGATCGAAGGACGCGGGGTGGCCGGGTGACTCATGGGGCTAACAGCCATGTCAGAGCGCAGGGCCGACAGCACCGACTGAGAACCTGGGTTCAAATCTCGGATTCAGTTGCTCACGATTGAACGGGCGTCCGGGTTGATGTGTGCAACGTCTGGCAACGGTGCAGTGACAAAATCGCTCTTTCACCTCGATTTGAGTAGAAAAAAAAACTAAAACTGTGCACGAGGTGGCTGGGTGGATCAGAGGTCAGAGCGGTAGAGCCGGCACCACTGAAATCCTCGGTTTAAAGACAGGCAGACACCGATGATTAAACCAGGTGCCCGTGTGCAGGAAGTTGATGGCATCAACGAGGTAACAAATGTTTTGTACAACAAAACACGTCGAATAAAAAAAAATCGCATACCCTGGCGTATTATAGTTGTTGTGAACAAGCATGCTGGTATGATTGTTATGCCATGAACATAGACAGCAAGATGTAAAGGTGTGGGGGTGGGGGGAGAAAAAATGTGATGGCGTCATCATCCGGGAGACGTTCCAAGCCGTGACACGGTGCTGAGATCTTTCTGAAAGAACGCTTATTCATTGTGACACGAACCTGACCACGCAATCAAAATATAATTGGGTTTTTAAAAGGAAAATCCAAAGAAGGTATTTAAAAAAAAACCAAGGGAGTAGAAAAGCCAGCAGATCTAAGGTGTAGTGAGAGCTGGAGACAATCATGGGCCTGATCGCGCTCGACTGCTGGACTGCGGAATTCGAGAACACCCATTGCAACCTGTTTGAAGGCCACTTTTGGATGAATTTGAAACATCCTCGTATATTCTAGAAGCTTGGCTTTATTCACGAACGTTGTGCGTGGCAACGTTGTTTCCACGGCTTTGTTTTCCCCTGGCCTTCTGACGTTCACAAGTTAGACACACACGTGTGTGTATCTTGCACTCACCACTCCCTTTGTTAAGTTCGTCTCGGGCCACAGAGCTTTCTCTCAGCGATTGCCATCTGATTTTAACCGGTGAGACCCCAATGATAGAAGCAAATCACGTTATTAAACACATTTTTTTTACCATATTAAAACTGAACCCAATAGTTGTTCCTTTATAATACATATTTGCTGAGCACAGGGCCCAAAAGCATAAAACCTCAAGCAGCCAGCAACAAAACAGCAAAATTAGTGCTGAAATAGATAAGAGTTAACACATTACTCTGACTATTTCTTTGGCTACTTATTTGTCAGCACGATTTGATGACATTTTGTTGAAAAAAATATTGTTAATTTGTTTAATTCATTTGTTATATTTTGTGTTAATATTTGTACGTGTTGTATATAATTATGATTGTTGTGGAACTGATGTGCCACTTCCTGATTATAATCAGGTCCCTCTTGGAAATCATATGCTTAGACTCTCAAGGGGGTTTACGTTGGTCAAATAAAGATGAATATTCATAATGATCATTTACACGAGTTAGTTTGATGTCCTTCTCGCGCACCTCCGATTATCAAGGTTGGCTACGTGTGTTAAGAATGAAGTTCAACATACAAACATACAAGAGAGGGATAAGAAATTCAGTGTGGCCTTTGTGGGCCTCGTTGGTGCCAATGTGCAGTAACAGATGCATCTGTGGTACTGCTATTGTTTCCAGAGGAACCCCATCGACACAAAGCCCTTGGCAGAGGTGAGGTATTCAGGGGAGAATTGCATTGGCCCTCTTCTAAATCGTAGATTGAATTACAAACGCATCAGTTTGCTTATTTGTGGACCCCCCATCCTGTATAAACAAAACGGTGCGTGGGCTGCCTGGATCTTATCTCATATTTATATATCTTCACGGTTTCCAGTTCAATCCTCTGACAAAAGACCAACACGGCCACCTTCATGATTTTATTATTATTATAATCTCACAATGGCAGGGTCTTGCGTTAAGATGTTTGGCCAACACTGTTAATGAGTGTTTGGCACGTGGGAGGAAACTAAGATTACTGTGGCCAAACAAAAAACCCACCCATGCATGGCAGTGGAAAACACTCAGCACTGCCCTCACTAGGACGTCTCGCAGTAGAATTGACGGCGGTCCAGGGCCTGGTGCGTACGTGCAGGGCCCACTCACCGCCCTCTTTGTCGCTATTCAAGCTCTCTTGTTTCGTGCCCACGTTCTTTGTCCGTTCACTGCGAGGGGATCCGTTTTCGTTCTCACCGCCGTGCCCATCTCTGCAAATGTACGCGGCAACAAAGCTAAACGTCGCTCAAGCTGAATATCGTAACGGTTCTGCTTTACCTAAATCCTTAGGGCCCTGGTGGCACAGAGATATGTTGAGTAGAAATGGTATTTACAGCTCTCCAATAGTCAGAGGAGGATGACCTAGTTGAGCAAGGCAAGTAGTTTTAACTGTTATTGTTTAAATATTCATTCATTTCTGAAATATACTCTGGCGATAATATGTGAATGTATATGAATGCAATATACTCATATATGAGTTTAATATATAGAAATATGAAGCCATCAATTGAAATGCTAAAACAAGCAGTTAACCCTTCCTTTGGTCATGCCAAGGTTATTTCAAACGGCTGTTGTGGCACGCATTTAAGAAATATTATTTTAAAGCGTGACAAATGCCACTCTGACACCTTACTGTATATGGATCGTAGCTTTGTTAAAGCTGTAGATAAAATGCCAAACACATGGCCTTAAAAAGCAATTCAATTTCCTTATGCTACATCAAGTTGACAGTCTGTTTTGTACATAATGATTATTACAGCAATTTGGGTCAACTCTCTTTCAAAAGGTACTTAAACTGAAATAATCTAAATGACAGGACTGTCTGTATGCCAAGCGAAAGGGCAGCCCTCCCATTTTCAGCGACCAAAGGAAAGAAAAACAGATCTGCCCGTCTAATGGTCCATTTACAGGAGGGGGGGAAAAATGGGCATCCAATGATGGCTGCAACAGCAACAATGAAAGCTCACACGACAAGGACACTCCCAACAAAAACAAATTGAGCAACATTTCTACTCCATTCAGCAGCCGTCACCTGCCCCCACTTCACTCAAGCACCCCAACAGCAGTCTAATGGCTGGTGATTCAAGGACTGAACGTAGAAAATCTGCCATCTCTTCACTTCGTCATTATCGTGTGCTGACGGGTCTGTTATTAGCCCACCCTCTTTTTTTTTTATTTACAGCCAGCTGTGGCCTCAGCTCCAACCCATTACTGTCGCTAGCCAATTTGGGAGCCGGTTATCTCTCCTCGGAAAGCCGTAATGTGCCGGTTTTTTTCCGGGCTACACCAATAGGAAACAAAAAAAATGTATTTTTTCGGCTGACAGTCAAAGTCAAGACGCGCGGTTGCTTTTCTTGCAGAAATTGTCGGAGCACGTTGCGATCCGCTAAAGCGGAACGAGGTTTGTCACTTAAGCCTGTGACTTGGCCTCGTTGTTGTTTTGTGACAAAGTACATTGTGGCGCTGTGCATTGTAAAACAATCACGGAGTAAATGCTGGGATGCCAGAGGCCTATTATGAATTGCAGAGCATTGTATATGTTGTGTTGGTCAATCGTAAACGATAAAAAGCAAATCCATTTTGACCGTCTTTTGTCTGGGATCAACTCTGTACCAAACAGTAAATGCACAATGACTCAGTTTACTGTATGGTTCTACAATCAGGATGAATTCCACTTTCACAATCTCTTCCGGCTTAAAACCTCACAATGTGTCGAGTTAAACATCTCCATTAAAACAATCGAGATAATTTATGGAGAAAGCAGCACTATCTCAAAGCATCCACACGAGTCCCACCAATTTCGATACAATTATTCAACATTTTGGCACTCACCTCCTCAAGATATGAAACCACTGCTTGCACAACATCCAACTTCCCGTTGGGATAAAAACTACAGTCAAAGGATTATGAGAATTCAGTGTTTTTTTTTTTTTTACGAACGAATGATCCCGCATCTTAAAATAAAACACGCTTCGTGCCCTCACCTGCTCGTCCGGGCACTTTCATAGAGGTTGGTGGTGCACATTCCCACCAGAGTGCTTGCGAGAGAGATGACCGACAGTTGCCTCCGTGTCGACACTGACAGTGAGGTGCCCCCTTGGCCGCCCCCCGTTTCCCGTCGCCGCGAGGCCTCGGCACCGGTGCGGAACCCAACCGTGCGGAGGGGCCTCTGCTCCAGCAGGTCCCAGCCCGGCAGGGCGACCGCCATGGTGTGGCCGCACTGCGAGAGCAGCACGAACGAGACGGCCATTTGAGGCCTCAGCAGCCCGAGGCGACCCGTGCACAGCTTGTCCAGCTCGGGATCCAGGCCCCACCGGTGCAGGCAGGACATGAAGAGTCGCGCGTGAGCCTCCGCCATCAACTTGCACCGATCGTCCACCTTTGCGAGCGGCTCCGCACTATGCTGGCGCTGCTTGGCCCCGTCATCCCTTTCCTCCTTGTCGCCGGACAACTTGAAGTTCTCACAGAGGTGCAGGATGGTCTCTGAGGCTCCCCTCTTGAGCAGCCGGCCATGCTTGCGCGGCTTCGTGCTGCCCTCAAATTTTACAGGCAAGCTAGGCTTGCCTGGCAAGGCCTCCTCGATGGCCAGAAGGCTCACGAGCGCCTGCATGTCGAAGAAAATGAGGTGGATGGCCAGATCACACGCGCTCGGCGTTACGGCTTGGAAGGTGAACGCCTGCAGGAGTTTGGCACGCGTGGAAAGCAGGTCCTGCGGGAACACGACAGCGCAAGACGTTTAACAGCGCCAGTGGCGTCTCCCCGCTCGATCGGGCACAAGGCAGCGCCGATCTCCAACCGGCGCCCGTGAACAGTCATGGAGACTGCACATTCCTTTACTGGAGGCCAGTCTAGTGATAGCCACTGTTGATTTTCGATTATGCCACCATGACTTCATATTTATGCCGCACCTGCCCTGCAGAACTTCTTGAGGCCCCCTGCGGCAGGGAACCCCCTGTATTAAAAAACACAAAAATACTCGCTGGCCAGCAAGTGGGAAAAGAGTCTGCCAGGAAGTAGGTGGGCCATGTTTTTTTTTTAATGTGGCTTCCCCATCAAGTAATTTGTGAGTAATGTATCAAGTTTAGCTTATTTGGATCATTATACTGGCACACATGGCCTACTGCAATTCAAGACATTGCAAGGTTGGTGTGCCAGACTGGATGCTCAGAACCTAAAGGAATATAAACTAATACTACGTGTACAGTATGTGGGTAAAAATGCTACATATCTGATCCAAATCTTTGTCTCTGTATACACTCGCTTCCTCTCATGTGTACAAATGCAACAATACATTTGTAAATCATCCTAAGCAGAGCCCAACTGATAAAAAACCACGAGACTAATTTCGAGATTTTTATCGGTAAATTTAAGATACATTCTCCTTTCAACTGCCACACAAGGAGATTTAATCAGCAACCCTCTGGATTGCAAGTGCAATTACACCACAGAAGTGTCCCTTACGACTAAATACAATGACGAAATGCGATGATCTCGTCGGCTGTTAATTGAAAAGAACATGCTATGAAGTTTCTGAAATGTAAGCATGGTTGTCGCATAACTCACACAATATTCGTATATTTTTCTGTTGCACATGAAAAGCACGCAGATCAAACGTAAACCTTTGCAACAACATATCATTACAATGAAGCCACCTTCAAATTACTTTAGGAAAGCAAAGTGCCCATCCATACGTATGAAGACAATGACCTAAAATGCCTTGCGCAGGCAATGAATCATGCTTGAAGCGCACGTTATTTATGGTCTTGCGTCATTTTTATGTAACACATCTTGAATATGCACCATATATCTTGTCTGCGCGATGGCTGACGGTATGCTGCAGGCAGGACCAAACCATAAACGAGATGATACATCCTAATTTATCAACACCCGTATACATATTTACACGTAAGACGTGTCAAAAGGTCTGATGCTCATGTTGGAGAAATGAAACCAGCAAGTCCCTCTTGCACACGAGGGCGTGGTGGCGCATCCCGCTCATCAGCTGCTTTATCTGATGGCAGTAAAAAAAAATGCTTCCAGTCCATGGCTCTCCCGAACGCGCAATGTTTCACATACATCGTATGCAGTAGTTTCTCAGTAGGGAGTGATACTTAACTAAATAAATACAATTGGATCATGGCGCCGGCACACAGTGGCCTCCTTTTTTTCAAATGATGGCCACGGTTTCTTTAACGTCCACTGTGAAGGAGACGACCGTGCAAACAAGTTGTGCTCTCTTCTCATTGCATCATATCAGATCTCTGATCCAAATGTTTCTTTTTCACAGCTAATCTTGCGGTCTGAGGAAAGTGTTTTAATATTCAAAATAACGTTGACATGCCTCAAATTGGCACAGAAGTTTAACTCGTTTTTATATTCCTAATTCTCCGATGTGGGATGTTGTAGACAGTGGGAACGGGCCTGTCACCTTCTCCTCCTTCGGCCAGTATGTCTGGGGAGGTCAAGAACTGCGTACCCAATACAGATATTGCAGATGTGTGAGCCAAAGTCCTGACCTTCAACCATACCACATTGGCAATATGAGGTGGGGACGATGCCAACCCCAGCTACAAGCAATGATACAAGTCTTACCTGCAACTTTCATCAGCTACTCAAGACCAGGCTATTGTGGGTTTGAATGGGGTCCGAGGTGGATAACCACCACTGCAGTGATAGAATGGCAGGCGCATATTACAGATGAAAAGCCAATGGTCAGTGGGCAGATCAGCGCCACAGTCAGTTGTGGTGTCAAGAACATGGTCCCACATCCACTGTTCTATCACTATATAGTCCGGCAGATGTTATTGCTTGGACCAAGCGTGCATCCGCGATGTTTTGTGCATGCACCAATGCTGGAACAGCATGTTGGTGATTACAAGCCGATGGGCTGCACAGCAGTCTAGCAGTCTCCTACCATTATTATTTTTTTGAGCTGATCTGGCCCATGCCTTCCAATCACTCGAGCCCAGGTACGTGAGTCATGACCCACTCTGGCATTAAAGTCAACCGTCAGGATGACTCTATCTGAGGGGCCACTTGAGCCAGCACCCATGGCTTGTGGTCATACAAGGCATCTGACTCATCAGGCTTGCCTGCACCTCCAATGATGATCATCTTCGGTGGGGGCATAAGTCGCCACCACCACCATTCCTCACCTCCTGTTGATGGGGAGGCGAGTCCCTAACAGCCTGCGACTCACGGCTTCCCACACCTCAGCGCCACTCTCCCATGTCACTTTCGTTATTTTTTTCAGAAGCAGAGTCACTCCCTTTTGTTTGGCAGTTTCCTGCCCCAAGTGGAGAACTGTCAACTCCTCATCATGACTGGAGCCAGAACCAGTCCACTGGGCCTCCTATATTCCACACGTGTTTAGGCGGTACCAGTCCAGGTCCTGACAGAGGAATGGCAGCATCTGCTCTGCAGCGATCGTTCGAACATTCCACGTGGCCACTCTCAGTGGTTTTCTGCAGTTTCCGGAAGAACCCCAAGGTGGTGGTGGGGGGAGGGGGTGGTTTGGCCAGGAGACGTCATAGACGCACGACCCCCCCGGGGCCCCCCCGGCACAAGCTTAGTTTGTTCTTTTGCACGTAGTTTGTAGTAATGACATTGAAGGTGCAAGGGTTACGAGCCCTTTGCACTTGTCCAGAGCCCCCGTTGGCCACTGCACACACGCGCGCGCGCGCGCGCGTACATTTGACTTCAAAAGACTAAAATGCAATTGGAAAACTCTTGAACCAAAAAAACCAACCCAGAGGAACACATCGCTCGTACAAACGAGAGCAGCACAAGCACAGCATACAAATGGGTTAGGGTTTGACTTAGAAGCCTAGGTCATGCCGCGAGATGATCGCTTTGAACAGTCCAGCATCAACATCACACATCTTCCCCTTGAACAACTCAAGTGTCAATACAAATGACAATGTCATCAGATGGCGGGGGCATGTCATACGTGGAACGGCCGTCATGGCAGCTATTGCGCTATGCTCCTCGTTTTTGTTTTTTTGTTTGTTGTGGTTGCACCCGATTCAAGAGCCGAATGGCTCACAGGGCTATACCAAAATAAATCAACTGAAAACTGAAGCTACTAATGTAAACACCTCACCTGGCTCAAATCAAACATTAACCCCGGCCCTGCTGGCCAGCCTTCCCTGCAGAGACTGTGACCAAGCCAGACCTCCTATGGGGCCAGTCGAGTTTGTTCTCCAGATTATGGGGAGTGCTTTGTGGATTTACCCATGAAGGAACCACGGAGGTGTAGAATAATCTTCTGGGCAGAGTTAACAAGAGCGGGTCAGTGCCATGACTCCATTGCAAAGTCACTTTGATGAAACAATTCAAGCGTCTTTCAAATGCACCAGAACGCAATACAATTGATGCGCCGAATGGGGACGATGCACATCGCTGTACAAAACTTTGCACTCAAAACGGATTTATACTTTGTGGAAAGGCAACCACTGTAAGCTCTTGCGTGGCTGATACGGACACACGGACGGCGTGGCTCATGCGGCTTTTTATGCACCTGTGCCTGTTCCAGGAATAAACGATCGTTAGTTGCACGGGGGAGAGGTGGCGCAGTGGTTAACGCACTGTGCAATGAACCCAGCAAGCCGATTTCGAATCCCGATCAGTGGTGGATGACATGAAATGGTCTTGGGCCCAACATATTCACCAACCCAAAGTGACTGGCACGATGAAGTATGGTCAAATAAACCCCAAGACACGGTGCAGGGAGGTCTTCATCCAGGAGTGGGTTAACAAGCGGCTGTTTATTATTATTTTATGATTATTGTATGTGTGGGATGTGGCCAGGTGGTGCTGTTATTAGAATGCTCGACTTACAACTTAAGAATTGTAATTTAAAATCTTAGTCAGCCTGGGTCAAGTCAACCTATCATCATCCCTCTGGGGTCAATGAAACGAAATATCACTTAGTTGTAAACAGTGATCATCCTATGGGGACACTGACCTCTGCCATGGGAATGTGGAGTTTCCACCAGTGGCTCAGGGTTACAAAATGCGGATGCACGTAGCTCCGTTGCCAATTTTGAGCGGGAGACACTTTGGCTTTTACTGAGACAGGAACCCCCAAGCACAGGCAGCACTGTAACTCACTTTGCCATCTCTGCAAATCCCCTGCAGGGACACCCAAAACACACATTGTGCAATACGCCCAACATGGTTCTCAGCTGATGGAATTCAGAGACAATCCACGCGAGTCCGAGTAGGTACCGAACCACGGCTCATGTCAGTGGCGAGTGATATCTGTACCCGGCCCTGCCTCCCCCTTCACGAACCCATAGCGACTAGCGTGGTGAAGTATGGCCAAACAACACCAACGACAACATGGCATGGGGAGGCCTTCGTTCAGCAGGAGATTCAAATGGGCTGAACATTACTCTGCCTCTTATCATTGCTAATAATTATTGCAAAATTACATGATTCTTTAACATTATCCGGAAGTGATTATGTAAAGGCTGTATTCACATGTAAATATCACATTTACATAATGTATAAATGTCATGAGCTGCAAGACGAGATAGGTCAGTGGAGCACTGTCCATGCAGCTGCGGATGTTTCAACTCTCAATGTGAGTGAAAGCCCAGTGACAGTGAGGCCGAATGTAGCATAAGCATTCACTGATGAATCATTAATGGCAAAAGGCCTCATAAGTTGACAATAATGCGATGCTCGTACCAACGTGAATGTAAA